ATGGACCAGTGAAAATAAAAAAAATTTAAAAAAGAAAAAAGGAAATGTATCAAAATAGTAACAAAAAGAGAGAATCACATATATGCATTTGAAAATTTAGTACTGGAATTCAAGAGTGTGAAAGGTATGCAGTCAAATTTATATGGGAAAATTACATTGAATTTTTAAGAATGGTGATTGTTTATACTCTTTGTTTTCCCAACATGAGTTCAAGTAGTAATTCTTCACTATATTGTGCAAGAAGATAAGATATTAATTTAAGGTGTTCAATTAAATTAGCAGTGAAAAAATAAGATGTGGTTTTAAAAATTAGTTTTTAGTCAATATGCGACGATATAATTTTGCCATGTCTATAGTGATTGTATGTGAAACTTCTGAGAGAAATGTCTGGTTTTCATTTATTTTTTTCTGGATCCTTTATTAAAGAGCCATGTGCAAGGGGACAAATTAAAAGCAGACAACTTCAGATCCACTGTAAATTTCACATGCCATCAGAAAGATTAAGCCAAATGTTTCTTTTGGCCACCATGCATGAATTGTAAGCAAGAAGTACACTAGATTCACATTTTAGTACTCTTATTTGAAACAATAAAATGGTATTTGGACTTAGACATTACATTAAGCTTATTGGTATAATCTATAGTTTGGCTAAAATTGTAAAATGATAAACGCACATACCTGATTAGTTCTGTTCTAGTCTCAAGTTACTATCCAGTATTTGAAATGTGAGAAATAAGGAAATTAAAGAGTTATTAATTTTTTTAATGCAATCCCAGTAAAAAGTAGAATTGTGCTTTCGGGTTTCTTGCCAGCAACATGGATCCCTTATCCACAATATCCCATTAGGTCTTCAGGAAACGGCACATGATCAAAGATGAAATTTTAGAAAGCAATAAGATCACAGACTCAGGAGAACAATATTATTAAATATAATTTGTACAAGCTTTTACAAAAAAAAAATAACAAGGAGAGGGCACCTTTTTCTTATTCTTGACATTTAAAACTTTTAGCTTCATTCATTCATTTCCTTTTCTACACATTCTTCAGGGCCTATTATGCATTGAGAACTGGGATGGATACCAGCAAAATGATCAGCAGGAACAGATATGATCCTTGTCCTCAGATAACTTACTTTACATTTCCAAGAAAGAGGCAACTACTTTGCCTTAAAACTGAGACAAGTCTATAACTGGAGGAGGATTGGCCTTATTTATCAAAGGATTTTCATTCTTATTTTATAATTTACCTTTATCATAGAAATTTCATAAAGTACTGAAGCTTACAAAATACTAAGTAGAAAAAATAAATCAGAGGAGATTATTGAAATTGCTGAGGGTGGTTAGGAAGACCGTCAGGATTGCCACAAGTTCAAGGCCAGCCTGGATAGAGAGACCCCGTCAGAAACAAAACAAAACAAAACAATTCTGATTGCTATGTGGAAACAGTTGAGAGGCCATTGCCAGAATCTGTACAGGAAGTGATGGTTACTTAGATCAGAGTAGTAGTAAAGGTAGGGAAAATAGCCAAATTCTGGATATATTTAAAGATTGAGGTAGAGGGTAAAGAAATGTAGAACTAAGAACTATTCCAAGGATATTATGAATACTTGAGTCAGGGATATATTAATACAAAATTATTTTTCAGAAACATCTGCGAAACTCTCACAAAATTATCATTCTCCAGAAAATCACTTGGGAAATGAGGTTAGGGACGTTAAGTGAATGAAAAGTTATGTCAGTATTCAGGTGGTTGAGGCTGGAGGTTCACAAGTTGGCGATCAGTCTGAGAAATGTAGCAAGACTTATGTCTTATAAAAAAATAAGGGAGCTGGGTGGTAGAGTGGTAGAGTGCATGTGTGAGGCCCTAGGTTCAATCCCTAGTACTGGAAATAAAATAAAATAAAATAAAAATAGAATTGTAGTAGGAGAGAGTTTGAGTTTGGATCAATGGGGCTAGTAACAGGCTAAGTTACACTGCTGAAAGTTGAGACATGTTGTAAGTTATTCTTTGATATGGACAAACTTTATTAAAATTTAACCCCAACATCAAAACCACTGTTGAGCTTGAAATTCCCTCTGAAATAGAAAACTGGGCAATAGCCAAATACGGTTACAGCTAAGAGCCTTTTAAACAAAGATGGAAAAGCAATTCCATGGAAGAAAGATAGTCTTTTCAACAAACAGTGCTGAACCAACTGGATAGCCAGGAAGCAAAAGCCTGGACTTTGTCCTAACCCTCACACCTTATTTTTTTTTTCTGGTACCGGGAATCAAACTCAAGATCTTACACTTGCCAGGCAGGTGCTGTGCTGCTGAGCTAAATCCCCAGGCCCCCTCACACCTTATTAACTAAAAACTTAACACACAAAAAATTACTCAAAATGATTCAGAGATTTAAATGGAAAAGGTAAAACTTGAAAAAAAAAACCCTTTAGAATAAAACAAGAGAAAATCTTAGGGAGTAAGGTTGGTGAACAGTTCTTAGACATGGCATGAAAAGCACAAGCCATAAATATAAAAAAGTGGAAAAAACAGATTTCCTCAAAACTAAAAACATTTGCTCTGTGAAAGGTCTTGTTAAGTGGACCAAAAGACAAGCTACAAATAGGAGAAAATATTTGTGAGTCACATATCTGGTAAAAAAAACTCATATTTAGAAAACAAAGAACTCTCAAAATATAAAATGAAAAAAGTACAATTAGAAAATAAGTGGAAAACAGGAGATCTTTATCTGAATCGATCAAGCAAACTGAAAATAAGAATATGAAAATATATTCAACATCATTAGCTATTAAGGGAATACAAACTAAGACTGATGAGATATCACTATACACTTATTATTTTAGCTCAGCAAAAATAAAAATAGTAACAAAGAGAGTATGTGAAGAAACTGGATCCTTCATACATAGCTAGTGAGAATGTAAAATGGTATTGTTACTATGGAAAACAGTCCAGCAAGCTTTTTGTTTATGTTTGTTTTGTTTATTTTTGTTTTGTTTTGAGCTCAGAGCCTTGCACATGCTAGGCTCTAACTCTGAAGCACACCTCTAAGCCAGTTCAGCAGTTTCTTTAAAAAACTAAACATACATGTACCACATGGTCTAGCAATTGTACTTTGGGGCATCTATCTCAGAGAAAGGAAAACTTATATTCACATAAAAGCTCCGTACAACTTCTGATACTGGTAGCAGTTATTTGTAATTATGTCTGCTGTGGGTCAATGATTGAACAAATTGTGATTCATTTGTACATGAAATATTACTCAGCAATGAAAAAGGAATGAACTATGATACGTACTCATACATGGCATTATGCTGAATGAAAGAAGACAGTCTCAAAAGATCAAAAACTGCCTTAGTATATTTGGATAACATTCTCAAAATGCCAAAATTATAAAAATGGAAACAGCATTTGCAGGCAGGGGGTGTGTTAAGAGAGTGGGTATTATTATAAAGCAGCATCACCAGTGAGATATTTGCTGTGGAATAGTTTTGTATTTCCATGGTGCTTGGACAAACTGATATATGTGATAGAAAGACATTTCATTAAACAAACACTTTATATCAGTGTCAGTTTGTTGGCTTTATTACTGCACTAGTGATATAGCACAGAATCATGAGAGCGAGCACTGGGTGACAGGCACACAAGACCTCTCTGTATTATCTTTGCAACTTCTATGAACCTATCATTATTTTGAAATAAAATGTTTGAAAGAATAATCTCACTGAGGCATTGCTCCCTCACCTTCCTTTATCCTGTGTATTTCTTCTTTCTCCAGGAATGAATTTTCCTCTTTCTTTTCTCCATTCCCTTATGTGTTGAGAATTCTTTTAACTGGTAATAAAGCAGAATAAATTCCTTATCCTCTTATTAATCCTATTCCTTCAATGAAGGTTATGTTTTCATGTGCTTGATTTTAAAAACAGAAACAGTCTCTTGCAAATAAACTTTTATTTTTTTTTTTAGTACCAGGTATTGAACTCAGGACCATGTGCTTACCAGGCAGGCACTGTCAAATACACTTCTTTAAAAAATGCAACTCACAAAGTACTGTATTGTGGTTTTATTTTATATAATCCACAGTCTTGGAACACACACACACACACACACACACACACACACACACACACACATATATATATATTTTCTTTTTTTAGTAGTATTAGTAATGGAACCTAGGAGCATTCTACCGCTGACATACAATCTGAGTTCTTTTTATGTTTTGAGAGCAGTCTCACTAAGTTGCCCAAACGGTCCTCAAAGTCGTGATTTTTCTGCCTCAGCCTCCTTAGCTTCTGGGATTATAGGTGAGCAGCACCACTGGCATTAATCTTGTTTTCTATGCACTCAGTATTTATATAATATTTGGGCCCTGGGGGTATAGCCCAGTAGTAAAGCATATGAAGCATGACAAGGCCCCTGTGGTCCATCCCCAGCACCAACAATAATAATATTTGTGATGTCTGTGGGTTATAATCACACATCCAAGATTTTCTGAGGAAATAGAAGTATCAATATTATGTTTCATATACAATGCATACATGTATCAAAACATCTAATTATACTAAACATGTACAATTATGTAAACTAAACATTTAAAAGTATTATGTTCCACTGAGTTTAATATTAGTCCACATGTCAAAAAAATTTCTTTGCTGGGCTATATTCTTCATGTGAAAAATATGATCATTACAGCTAGAAAACATCAAACTAAATACAGCCTTGTCCAGAGGGCTTGCAAACAGAACCTAGCAACACTTTGGGAAAGTACTACTTGGGTTTCTCAAAGAGCCTTCTGGTTCTTGCAGTGGGTTTAGTCCCAGATAAGGCTGAGCGCGATTAAAAATTATGGGTTGCCGGTGTTCAAATTTTCAAGCACTTTCTTTTGTTTTTTTCATCATTGTAAATAATCAATCCTATCAACCAACGATTATTCTTTATTGGGGTAATATTTACGCTTAATGTACTTCTGCATTTCTTTTTTAACTCTCGTAAACTCAAGTTTATAAGGCCCTCCCCCAATTACATTGCGTTTGTACTAGACTGGGAACGAAGGAAGTTAGTCCCTTGTGCGGATCCGTCCTACCATCCGGCTGTTTGGCTGCAGCAACATGGCGGCGGTCTCAATGTCAGTGGCGCTGAGGCAAGCGTTGTTGGGGAGAAGGACAGTGGCTACAGCTGCCGTTTCCACTTCCAGGGCTCTGACCAGGTAACAGAATTGTCATGCTTCTTCTCCAGGCTCCTCAAGTCCTTCCAGTTTTCTGGGGCCCCCGGTGGAGTCGCGGAGGAGGGCTCGGGGAAGGCGTCTGCTGTTGACCCTTGGGGCGGGCGGACTCGGCACCAGCTGCGTTCGGGGCGCTGGCCCGGCGGCGAGGGCGTCGATGTGAGGTGCGGGGACCTCGCCTTTCTTGGAAACTTCCGTTCTGCGCTGAGGAGAGGGTCTTTGGGGGAGGGGTTGTCTCCGGCGCTGCGAGGCGAGCCTCAGCCCCGGTGCGGGGGAAGTCTCGCTGAGCGCTCGCCCCGCTTTGCGCGGCGCTGCCAGTGTCACCTGTCCGCGCCCCGCCCCGAGACCTTGCTGCAAGGTCGGCTCCGCCGTTCTCCTCCAGGGCTTGAGTGGTGATCACCGGGTCTCTGCCCAGAAAGATTGTTTTACTCATCAGTCTGCACGGGAAGAAAACTTTTTAGGAGCCCAGTGTCAGTAAAATATTATTTTTACTAGTGTTAGAAGGTATTCTTACATTTTTCTAGTCTAGGTATGGAACCTAGGGCCTCCCATGCCTAAGCATGAGTTCTACTATTGAACTGCAACCCCAGCCTAGGAAGGTAATTTTTTAAAAGGCTTGGTGCTAGAATCGGGAGGTTTCCCATCTATCCACAGTTTTACTGAAACGTCACAATAATTCAGAGATTCTTATGGTATTGCCTCGAAGCACTTTTTGTGATGGTGATTTTTTAAAAAATACATTACCTAATCCCTTATTTCCAGATTTCACCAAATTTTCCTCAATTTGTTGTAATGCTAACACCATACACATGTATTTGCGTTTTTGTTGTAGTGCTAACATCATACACATATATTTGTGTAGAAGCAGTATGTTTTATCGCTTTTTTCACAGCCTGTTAATATAAACCAGGGGCTTATATTTAGGGTCTGCTGCATGCTCTGGAGACTACTAAATGATTAGTATAATGATAACGGTGAGACGAAGTGTAGGATGGAGAGATGAGAAAGATGGGAGAAAGGTGGGTGGTTAAAGATTTAAAAGGATTTAATCAAATGCTTATAATTGTTACACACTAAATAAAAGTGTAAATAAAAGGAATACAGAATTAAAACGAGTTAATTAGAACTTTTGGAGGTGAATATTATTAAGGTTTTAAACAGGTGTTATTTGATAAAGAAGGCGGTGTCCTAGGCAGGGTCTGGTTTATGAAAGATTTGAAACCAATAGAAGAACAGTACTTACATGTATGGACTACATACTTAGTATAGAGTCGGTGAAAAGTAAAGGGTCTCAGATTAGGGGAAAGCTGAAAGATATATTTTAAAGTGTTCCACATACAGGGAATTTAAGGAGTAGGAAGTAGTCTCTCAGGTGAACTATGCCACTGGTTAAGGGTTAGTATAATTCAGTAACTTAATATAGCAGTAAACCATTTTTTTCATTTGTACGTTATAGGGCAGTGGGGGTGGTGAACCTATGGCACACCTGTCACTTGTTTTTCTTTTAAGACAAAAGATGTTAATGTATGAGTTGTTTTTTTCTAAACTAAAGCCTCCGTATTCAGGTTTCATTGCCGTGTTGGCACTGTGCAATACATAAGTGGGTTTTGGGTTGCAGTTTAGGCACTCATCTCTAAAAGGTTTCCCATCGCTGTCTTGGGAATAAGTTTTGTGATCACAAATGCTAATGTATTCCGGATAGCCCTCGAGGTGAAAATAAGTTGGAGAGGACTGTTATTGATAGGTGCATTAAATCATGTCAGCATATCTAAGTTAAAGGCGTTGCTGATCATTTTGTCAGCAAATATAGTAGTTGAAATTAAGACAGTGTTAGATGTAGCCCATTGGATTTGAAAAAGTTAAGTGGAAGGAGACCAATTAATGGGCTACATATAAAATTTATTTTATTGTCATGCTTGAAAATTTGCAAATAACATTACAGGTGTCTTGAGTAAAAATACGGGAGAATGGAATCGATAAGGCTTGTGGTAAGGAGGATAATAGCGACCATAAGAAAAAATGCTAGGGGGCTGGGGATTTAGCTCAGTGGCAAAAGCGCCTGCCTGGCAAGCGCAAGGTCATGAGTTCGGTTCCCGGTACCGGAGAAAAACCAAAAAAAAAAAAAAAGAAAAAATGCTAGAAAACAGCTGCTACATTAACATTTGATTCAATTATAGTATATTAGTAGAAAATAAAAAAGAAAACAATTTAAAAGCCCAACATCATATACACGAGAGAGAAAAGTTATTAAAATAGGGTGTGAGTGATTGCATCTGATCTAACTGAGCTTCTAATCTAGAGTGAGTACATTTCTTTGCTGAGCCTGAGGGAGGAGAAAACCTGATAAATCAGGCACATTTATCCTTACTTTTCCTAACTTTCCTAAGGGATTTTCCAGGGTAAACTTAAGTACTTAGGATATTAATCTATCAGCCAGATAAATTGGCACTGTGTGTCAAAATAATAATTCTTGGACTGAAGATATTTGCTTCATTGTTGTTACTCATTTTTTTCCTAATTTATTATTTTTATTTAAAATAGAATAATAAAAAAAAGAACAATAGCAAAATACCAGCAACATGGACACAAACGGAACAAAGTAAAAACAGTAAAAATGATACAGGGTTTCAGAACAAAATGATAGAAATTAACAATGGCTGTTATATTACAGTTGTTACTCATTTTAACATCTTCCTGTATACTAATCTCACCTAGCCCTTGGATAACTTGTCAGTTTAGACTAGGTCTGTGTTTGCTTCAGACATAGGTCTTAGGATGGTAGGTCCTCAGAAGATGTTAATTAATGATTGTGGTGCTGACAAATGTATGAGATCTTTTTTATGAAGCCTATTTTTGTGCTGGCTTTATTTTGCTGTTTTATTTTCCAATATGAAACTGAATCTGCAGGGACTGCCAATGAAGAAGTGGTCCTGAGACTGACAACCTTCTATGTGTATTACACCTTAGAGGAAAACATTTAAGAACAATAGGTTAGTGTCTATTTCAGATAATTTGGGCAAACATCATTATTAAATTCTTAGGAAAATTAAGTATTTTAATATGTGTTTGTCTGACTCTTATTCAGCAGTGAGGTACTGTTTTCATTGCTGAAATAAAATACCTGACCCTCAAAGTTAAAGGAAGAAAGGTTTATTTACTTTTCAATTTATAGAGGTTTCAGTCTGTGATCAGCTGGCTCCAAGGCATGGTAGCATGCAGAGAGATGTTGCAGAGGAGAAACAGTTCATGGCTGGCAGAAGGCAGCAAAGCAGGAAGTAGTGAAGAAGCAGCAAGCTACCACAGCAGTCCTCTTTCTGTCCTTTTATATTTCTAACCAGGCTTTACGTCTTTATGGCAGGTAGCACTCACATCCAGGGAAGGCCTTCCCATTACCCACTCTCTGAACTGTGCCAGACCAATCAGTGGGCTGATTTAGTAATCACACATCCTTGATTCCAGCATCACACACTTAATCCCAGCATGACACACTCTAGATACAGCCATCTCTAAAAAGCCCTATGTATGACCACATGAGGCTTTGGGAGCACATCTAGATACAAACCATAACCCTTCACTAAATCAATGCTAATTTTATTACTGGTTTGAATAGCTGTATTTTTTTTCTTTAATCTTGGTGATAGGTATTGTGATAGATTGTGTTACTGCTTAAAATATTCACTACCATTCCCTGTTACAGGATTATATATCTCTGATCGTTGACCAGTGACATGTGAGTGGAAATGATGTACCACACTACACTGAAGTTTTAAGAGCTGTTCTATACTTTGCTATATTCCTTTTCCTTCTGCTGTGAGATGGTCATATCCCAGGTGGATCTCCTCTTTCAGCTCAGATCCTGGAAATAATGACCACATGGAGCAAAACGGAAATTGATTCTTCTAAAATAAATGTATAAAATATAAATTGAGTGAAAAACTTTCATTGCAAGTGACAGATTGTTAGTTACTTCTGCATAATAACCTATATACTGACTTTATTTACACACACATTTGCAAGTGAGCAGATTTTATTACATAGACTGTTATGTCAATATTGAGGTCACAAGCCTTTTGAGGCTTATGTTTGTATACTACATAGCATCTAGGATAATGGTTTGCATGTAGTATGTAAATGCTTATCATATAGATAAGTAAGTACATATTTAGAGATGATTGGTTGTGAAAAAAAGCAATAAACCAGAGGTAGTATTTTCTATAAGTAGCTTCATCAATGCAAATTGGATAGGCACCATCCCACATAAATGTGAATAAAAAATATCTACAGTACATATTTTTTCCTAGTTATTTGTAGTGGTCTGAATTTAGGTTATTTATCCTGAACTCTCTTGACTTCTGAATTGCAATTGTCTTATGAATATATTTTATACTCATACACTTAGACAAATCTCCCAACTCTTCTTTGGTAGTCAGACTTTAAAAAGCAAGGTGCCCTTTTGCACCTTGCTTTTTAAAGTCTTGCTTTTTGCACAAGAATTCACTAATTCTTGTGAATTAGTTTATTTGGGAAAGGATGCTCATTGGAATATGAAAGGTCCTTTGGAATTAAAGTAACTAACTTCAGTTAAAGTTTTTAATAAGTGTGGGGCATAATGGAGAAAGATGGAGCAACTTGGTTCATGTGTACTGCCTGTTAGGAGAGGTGTGTTTGGGAGTATGTACAGAATTCAGACAGAATTGTACCAAAAATAGACCATTTGAAATAGAAAAGCTTCCAAAATTTATCATGATAAGTAGAAATTGAATATCATTTTTATGATACTTATTCTGAGCACAAATTAGTAATAGTAGCTAACATTTATTTTTAACAGTATATCATTCAGTGTGCCAAGGATTTCCTTTATATTATTTCATATATTTCCATAGTAACTCTGTGACTTGACAGTTTCTATCCTAATTTTTCAGATAAAGAAACAGGACAGAAATGAAATGGCTTATATTTGCATTGCTAGAAAATAGACTTAATCA